ACGCTGGTGTGAAAGATGGTTGATGATAGTAATGAGAAGTTCGTGGGTAAGTTGGTGGAGATAATCGATGACGATGATAATGAGAATGGGAAAGAGGGTAAGGATAAGAATAAGGATGATGAATTAATGATGGTAAAGACGATGAATGAAATGGTGGTGGTATAGGGGAATTAGTTGGAGAAGCCTGTTGACCCGAAACGGCTACTATAGCCGGTCTATATTGAGAAAATGGTTCGATTACTCTTTGCATCATCATCGCAGCGGCTCTCTCGCGAGCACGTTCTTCGCGTTCTCTTTGCTCACGTTGACGTTGTTCTTGATCACGTTGAGCTTGTTCTCTTTTGCGATTTTCTCTCGCAATAGTACGAGAATATCTCAACCCGCAAGCATTACATAAGCTGTATATAATGGTGAATTATCAGAAATATATTCAAGGAGGAAAAACCGAGGGAAAAAAAAAAACTTTTGCGTTGCGATACTTACGTCTTGTGTCCAGTTGGACCTCGGCGCCATTCAGGACTAGAAGAGGTATGACAACTTTCACATTTCTTAACGCCGCTAGTATTCTTATTGTTGTTACTGGTTCGACGTTGATGAGGCGAGAATTGGGAGAACCGTCGAGTTTGGTTAGCCGCAGATGACGATTGTGAGGACGGTTGTTGACGCGGTAACACGGGAGGGTAATTTTGTGTCAAGAATGGAGCAGGACGATTTGTGGGAGAAGGATAGCTTTGCTGTTGTTGAGAAGAAGGTTGTGTTGCTGGGAGAATACGAGGATGATATGATTGTTGCGGGTGTTGTGAAGCTTTTTGGTCTTTTGCAATTGTGATTTGAGGAGGACAAGGTTGTATGTGTCGTAATTGTTGTGAAGGAAGGATAGGTTGATATGAAGAGGTTTTACTTTGATATGAAGGGTTTTTACCTTGATATGAGGAAGGATTACCCTGATATGGTGGGGAATTAAGTTGATATGAGGGAGAAGGAGGTTGATATGAAGGTAATAAACGGGACAATTTATGAGGAGAATGAGTCGGAGAAGGTGAACCGTTCACGAGATGTACTTTTGAATCATTATCAGACGAACCAATTGACGCAGAAGATGGTTCAGCAACTCGATGTTTTTTGGTACGATGGTTAAGATAGAATTCAGGAACGTCGTCTTGTAAATAAGTAAAATTTTGAACATAATGTTGGATCTCAGAACTAATGCAAGAAGACGACAAAGGAGAGAGGGAACCAGGCGATCTAGGCCTTTTGACAGGACAATTACTATCATTAATTGTAGTAGCGGGTGAACAAGGTGCTGATTTTGATTTTGGTTTAATGAAAGCTGAAGAAACTCCCAATGAAACTTTTGAAGAAGCGGGAGGTAGGATTTGAAAGTAAGAGAAAATAATATCACCATAAGAGATTACCACACTTTCAACTTGACGATAAGTTCCTGAAGATAACAATATAATATGTTTATCAGAAACGAGTTTTAAACAATTCGGTGACCCGGCGTCCGCCTTATTAGTCTTCTTATCAGGATCATTTGAACCATTTCTATTTATCCCAGCATGATTATTGTTTGTCATCAAAACATCTTGTAAAAGTCTTGAGAAATCATCTTTGTTATATAAATCTGAAGTTGAATCGGTCGAGTCGAAATTGGAAAATGGTTGTGGCCATGTGAAAATCAAATCCAGAGATTTTCTATCAAAGATTTGAAATATACGATTTGGCGTTTCGTCGTTGTTACCGTTAAAAGAATTCTCGGAAAATGGTGTAGAGGGTGGCGTTTGAACCTTGGACAATCCATTTGCCACATGTTTGTGCATAAGGGACGTTAATTTATCTATTTCCTAAAAAATTGATTGGATAAAAATAAAGTTTTAAAAAAAAAAAAATGATTTTTTTTTAATAAACATCCGAAAAGGAATGATTCGATTTAGCGTGCGAAACGATATATTACTCTTTTTTTTTTTTTTTTTTAATAAGATAAAATTAAAAATATATAAATACCTCCTCGGTGAATTCCGTTTCGCCACATATACCGGATACACATCTCGAGTTGTCCTCTAATGATCGAATTAGAATTAGAATGAATGAATTTTTTTAAAAAAAAAAAAAAAAATTTTTTTCCCCAATTTAAAAAAGGTGACAAAAAAGGTAATATTGAATAAAAAATTTTTTTTTTTGAACGCTAGAGCTGGCCAATTACAATTACATACCATCGGAATGGAAGCAGGCCAATACAATATCTTGACTAACGACGTTCATTCCAACATTCATGATTATAAATTCATCATTGGTGGTCTGTACAGAAGTGGGCGACGTCATTGTAGATGAAACAGGAGAATATTGTGTCATTTGTTGAAAAGATTTCGACGAAGGAATCATAGATTGTTGTAACTTGTTTTTTATGGCTTGAATAGAATTATATTGACATCTATTGTTTCAAAAATTTTTTTTTTAAGAAATCGTTAACGTTATTGTTAGGTTAACTGAAATCACGTGCATTTCCTAAAGGAAAACGCGTTATAGTCGAGCACCAACCTTGTCACGGAACAAGTCAAAGTTTTCTTTTTAACGAATTCAGTCAAATCACGACGCGCCAATTCTTGTTCTTCGGGATGAAAATAATCAAAAAATGAGGTTCCTAACATTAAATCATGCTCCGGACCAAGGGCTTTAGAAAGCCATGAAGAAAGATAAACGAAGCTTAGATCTTTTAATGATAAAAGGCACCAAAAACAAGTTGTGGAAGTCATTATGGTGCAATATAATGTGTTGAAAGAAGTCTGAACAGGTGGTTAATTGTTTGAACAATGATGTGTGATAATAGGCTAATTTAAATCCTTAATTCGTTTAAAGAGAATTCTCAAACAGGTGAGTATGTATTTTTTGGTATTTACAATTTTATATTAAGGAAAATGTTATAAAGTTTTTTTTTTTTTTGGTAAAGATTCGACAAAGAGTTATTTTAAAATTTTTTTTTTTTAAAATAAAAAAAGGGAAGTAAAAAAAAAATTGAAAATTTGAATACAATCAATTGAGAATGATTTATTATAAACGCGAAAAAATGAAACAGAACTCCGATTGTAAGAAAACCACGTTGTTTTTTTTTTTTTGAAGAAAAAATAAATAAAAAGAAATAAAGTATAATACAAATTAATTTGTTAAGAATAAAAAAAGGTACCAGTAAGAAAAAAAAAAAAACGAAGTTAAAAAAAAAATGATATTTAGGATTGATTTTTTTTTTTATTTTTTATATTTTAATTTTTTTTTTTTTAAAGAAGGAGGAAAAAAAAAAAAAGAATAAAAAGAATCCAAGCTGCTTTATAATTTTTTTAAAGTAATGATTATATATTTATAGTTAAAACTGTTTTAACTGTTTAAGAAGAAGTACAAAGGATTTTTTTTTTTTAATAAACAATCTAGATTATATATATATATATTATTTCAACTTTTCTTCAATATTTGATTGATAAAAAAAAAAAAAATTTTTTTTTGAATTATTCTTTTATTATAAAAATATATATAAAAAAAAAAAAAAAAAAGAAAAAAAAAAAAAACCAGGTTTTAATAATTCGCTTTTTATTGACAGTCAAATATATAATTAATATTGGTGATTAAGGTGATAAAAAATGATGTGATAACATTGTCATAATGGAGGTGATAAAATGCATTTGGTTATTGTAAAATAAGATGATAAACTAATGAAAATAAAAAACAACACAGCCAAATTTCCCTATTTATAGAAGGAAAGAAGGGTAAATTAATTGCGATGACCGACCCGATAAATTCCTCCCCTTTCCTATTATTCCCCTCCATTTAAAGAAAAGAACGTATATAGATTGTTTTGATTATACGAAATGACGAGGTTCTTTTCGGGCATTTATTTTTAGCATAAAGGACTGCGGAAAAACAAATGGATTTCTAATAAATAGCTTACCATTATCTGTAATTTTTTTATTTTTTAAAAAGAGAGTTTCACATTGAATGGATTATCATGTTGTGGACGAAAATTTATATTGGTGAGAACAAAGACAGATGTTGATTATGTTTTGTAAAATTCTGGAACCTTATTCATGAAGCCTTATAAATTTAAAATTCGATCAATGTAAATAATGGTTCTATATTAGGAAATAAGATTAATTGACAATCAGAATATGAAATAAAGAAATAAAAGTAAGAACTACAAAGGGGATGATTTTAAAAAAGTATCATGTATGTAATCGAAATTAATTTACTTATAATGAACTTCTTTATATATACAGGGTACTTGAACATCCGTTTGTCAACAACATAACCAACGTGGTATGTATTTTGAGTAGGGGAAAAAAAAAAAAAAATAGTATATAATAATTTTTGGCTCTCGGTTGAGATCGATCTCTTCACGCCTATCAACTATCTACATTTGGGAAATGTTTGCTCATCTGAGTTACGAGTAGAGTTCGATTAAACTCCGTAAACTCCGAACAAAGTATTTATAATGATAACTTTATTTAGACACTGCATTTTGTTGCATGTTATATGCCTGCATCTACGCTTCCTTTCGCATGTTTCTGACCGAACAAAGCGTTCATCCGAATATTATGTATCACGCAGGTTTATTGACCTTTTTGAACATGGTGAAAAGTTATCTTCTACGTAATGAAAAAGTGATATTGTAATGAACGCCAATTTCAGCCTCGTTTATATGTAATTTGATGTCCATTGGTCTGATCGCAAAGCTGGATTTCATTGGTTCGTTCGAGGTAAATCGGTTGATTTCTTTGATGTGTCAACGTTTGAACTCAAAAACAAATCTCTCTAGTTTAAAAAGGTTTTTCAGGAGTTGATTCGTAATCGTTTAATCATTAACTCCGATCTGATCACATTCTTTTTTTTTTAAAAAAAAAGTAACATCCTAACCAAGTGTTTGGTAGGGGTGTAAGATCACCTACATAACACTATGACAAATAGTGTTGTAAACTTTACATCACACAATCAAAAAATTTCGGCCGACTTAGCTTCTTTTATCAACCAAAAGATCAACTGCAGTATAACAATTTAAATAATTGTTGGATCAAAAAGTACATTTAGCTAGTCTGGTTGAAAGAAATTCCCGTTGATGGTTAGTGTTGGTGAGAAAGTCATGATCGAACGGTATGACATAAACAAATATGTGATAAAAATCTTCCATTTTAAATATGTTCAATAAAGGAGTTTTTAATTCGTTTTTGGATGATAGACAAGAAGTATTTTGTATATCATCACCCTTATTAAAAGTTACCATATTAAGATCGCATAATCATAATCTTTCAAATTTGGTGTAAAAAAAAAAAAAAAAAAATTCTCTAGAAATAAATCCCGATTATTATTTTTATTTATTATTTTTTTTTTTTTTTTTTTTTTTTTTT